TTACACAATCTTGCAAACGCAACGGTTGCTGAATCGTACGTGAGGGTCTCTTAGGAGTGAGATTCTCCGGAATAGGCGTACTTGCCTGGAAGGAACCTTTAGGCGTTGAGTAGATTGAGGAATCTAAACTCTGAGATAAGGAGAAAATGACGGTGCAGGCGGAGTTGTCACGGAACTCCCGCTCGCATTTCTTACTGTAATATCAGTTTCGTTACCTGGACTAGAAATATTTGTACTATTTCTTATCGTAGAACTATCACTTGTACTTAAACTATCACGCGTACTATTATCGCTGGAACTTACGTGTTCCTCACAACCATTATTGTTTCCGCGTACAATCTCTGGCGTAGCGTAATCTAACTCTAAATAGTAAATACTTCTGAACTACTCGGTGTATTCTCGCCAATCTTTCTTAACTGATTAACATGGCGTTTCCATATTCTGCCGTCATCTAGTCTAATCTTATAATGTAGTGTACCTAGTCGTTCACAAATTCTACCGAACAACCATTTATCTGAACTATTATAATTCCTCGCACTCACCCTCTCTCCCTCCGTGAAGGAAATAGGTGCATGTTGCGTCTGATGCTTACTAACGAACGGTTTAATTAAGTCTAAACGCGTTCTTAGTTTTCTCGCAAATAACATTTCTGCAGGTGTTTGGGAAATTTCCTCCCTTTCGAATCTCGTCATGAGATCGAAAGATCGCGAAATCTCCGTGAGCGCTGCGAGTGGATCGGGGGGTGAGAAAGGACGTGCACCGTGGCGAGAATGACTACGATTCGGTTGTTAAAATGAGTTGAACGTTTAATTGTATTTACACTATGTACAATTACTTGGTGTGGAATTTGGGTGAGCGAGTCCGTCGAGCTCTCTTGTTCGCACAAGACCGTCGGGGGTGTGCCGCCAGTTGAGTCGGATGCCGGCTACAAGCAAGCGTGCACTTACAATGTGAGAGGCCTTTGCGCAGAACACCGATGCACTCGATTTGAGCACTGAACTAATGAGTCTGTCCCTGAGTGAGCACTGATTGTCAATGTGAGCTAACCCGTGAGCGCGAGCGCGATACTTTTCGTCAGCCGATGCGAACTTTTACCACAGCTTATTACGGCTGCTTTCACACGACGACTGAACTCTCTGAGCTTGCGCGCAAGCCCTCGAGCCATGTTCACGGGCCCGACACGTGCTCGTTACCCGGTCGCGCGGTCGCGCGCGCGGTACCACTGGGCCTCGCGAATAACCGTGAGATGGCGAGGGCAGTACAATTGAGATAACTGGAGGAATCTCAAACAGCAGGTGTTTTTTCCGTGCCTGCATGTGGTGTATTACGATATTGCGTTAACAATTTTTGTAAATGTGCCTGTACAGTTGCATGTGTACTTTGCATTTGCTTTAAACTATTCTTTAGTGTTTGTACGTAACGCTCTGGTTGCCCGTTCGTCGCTGGATGATACGGTGCAGTGAGCCTGTGCGTAATTACATTTGCTTTTAAGAATTTTTCAAATTCTTCCGAAACAAAGCTTCTTCCGTTATCTGTAACGAAAAACCTAGGCAAACCATATGTTGCAAAAACTTGCCTACAAATATTAATTGTCGTATCAGATTTAATATCTTTAACAATGTGAATTAATGGCCACTTAGTGTAAGCATCTACAAGAATTAGGAAATTATGACCTAGAAATGGTCCTGCAAAATCAGCATGAATTCTTTCAAATGGTACTTCTGCTTGTTCCCATAAATGACTGATTTTTGGTGGATCGTTTTTAAACCTATTGCAATTCGCGCAATTTTTAGAAATTTCTTCGATATCCTTATCGATTTGGTTCCACCATACGTATTCTCTAGCTAAATGCTTCATACGAACTATACCGAAATGACCTTCATGCAGTTCTCTAAGAATTTGCTTTCGCAATTGAAATGGAATTATGACTCTGTGATTTCTGAATATCACACCATTTAATAAGGTAAATTCTTGTTGCGTCGTAGAAAGGTCGTGCACGACATAAACGATACGCGTATGTACATACACAAAAAAAAACGATAAAATAAGCGGCACAGAACACACGCAACGGCGCAGGCGACCGTCTGGCGACGCATCCGCGCAATCTTGTTTACCAGAGATTGAGGCAACGTGCGGTACGAGTTCGAACATGTACGACGACGGTGAGCTCGGGCGCGGCTTCCGTAATCTCCGCTCCCTTTGTTTTCCCCGAGGTCCGCTGATCGATGATCGATGGGCGGACCTAGGGGCCCACCAATAGGAGTTCGGGAAGTTTCCTGGAGTCTTGTTGGGGGATCGCGGCATATATAGACGAGCGTGACAGTCCTTTAAAATATACACAGTCTCGTTTCGTAGTCCTCATAACGAGTATCGAATCAGTCAAGAAGCGCGACGCGTGTCAAGCCAGCCCGCGATACGCATTGCGCGACAAGGTCTGCCCGATCAAGGCAAGAACAATAAGCGGTACCGCGACGCGCGTGTGTTCGAAGCGAATCACATAGTGCCCAAAGGGAGGGTCGTCGTCGAAGCGTTGCCGCGACCCGAGCCGAGCTCGAGACGTCGTCGCGGCTCAGAGACGATCCTCGAGGCGCCTTTCGTTCACGACGCGAATGAACCGAAGAGAGTGTAAGAGCGGTATCAAAGCTCAAGTGTACCGAACCATATGAAATAAACATTTAAAAACGAAACCACAGTGTCAAGTTCTTGGCGCTGACCACACAACAATTCTACTAAAGGAACTGTAAAAAATCTATGATTTTTAAAATAACCTTGACCTGTTTTAAGAAAATTAAGAAGTTTGGATAACTCTTTATCCTTAATTGTAAATTTAGCTACCTGTTCTGCTGTGACTGGCAAAGTCTCAACAGTTGAATTTTGGAACACATCTATTGTTTCACATTCGAATTGATCTGGATTTCGCGGTATTGGCAATCGCGATAAACAATCTGCGTTCGCGTGTTGTTCCGATTTCCGATATTTAATATCGTAGTTGAAACCCTGAAGGAACAATGCATAATGTTGCATCCTTGCCGCTGTATGGTACGGTAAACTTTTCGTTGGAGAAAAAATCTGAGTTAAAGGTCTGTGATCTGTGATCAACGTGAATTTTGCCCCATGCAAGTACTGATGAAATTTCTTTATCCCGTAAATAATCGCGTATGCTTCTTTATCAATTTGGGAATAAGATTGTTGAGTTCTAGTCAACGTTTGTGAAGCGTATTGTATCACACGTTCTGACCCGTTCGGATATACATGCGATAATACCGCGCCGACGCCATACGGACTGGCATCAGTCGCTAAGGTTATTGGTAACCTTGGATCAAAATGCACCAAGCATTTAGGACTTTGGAAAACCTTCTTTGCGGCCTGAAAACTTCTTTCACAGGCTTTCGACCAATGAAATTTAGTCCCCTTTTTTAATAAATTATTTAACGGTTGTAGTACTGAACTTAGGTTGGGAATAAACCGGTCATAGTAGTGTATCATGCCGAGAAAACTTCTCAACTCGGTAATATCCGAAGGTCTGCGCATTTTAGAAATGGCTTCTACCTTGTCTGCTTCTTTTCTCAACCCGTTTTTATCAATAACATACCCGCAATAGTGAATTTCATTCATTAGAAATTGGCTTTTCGAGAAGTTAATACGGATATTATATTTATGTAAGCGTTCAAAGACTTGTTGTAATTTAACCAAATGATCTTGCATGTTTGTACCCGACACACGTATATCATCTAGAAATACTGCGACTCCCGGAATATCTTTTAAAATATTCTCGATAGTTCGTTGCCAAATTGCTGGTGCTGACGCAACACCATACATAAGGCGTGTAGGCCTATACAATCCCCTATGAGTATTTAGAGTGATTAATTCTCTGTCCTGTGGTCGAACCTCTAATTGCAAATATGCCTGAAGCAAGTCAATTTTCGAAAAGACTGTGCCTCCCGCCATCTGGGTAAGTAACTCATCCGGTGTTGGCAAGGGATGTATATCCACATTTAATCTCGGATTTAGCGACACGCTATAATCTCTGCAGATTCTAATTTCATTATTCTTTTTGAGAACTGGTACAATCGGCGTTGCCCAATCAGAATAATCTACTTTTTCGAGAATTCCCTGCTGGACTAATTTCTCTAGCTCATTCTCTACTTTCTCGCGTAATCGAAATGGTACTGTTCTAGCTTTTAAGAAAACTGGGTTGACATTCGGTTTTAAATTCAATCGTGCTTGAATTTTAGAAATTTTATCTACCGACGGAATCGTGATATTAGGAAAATCTTTTAATAATGAACGTACTTTAGAATTATTACATTCCGCGATTTGTTTAACTGCACGGATATCACCTATTTTATTTTGCAACTCACGAACTTGGTTTAATTGCGAGATCCATTCTCGACCAACTACGGCCTCTCGATCTCCATCAACAACGTACAAATGTAATTCACGCACACTGTATCGTCGAAACCTCTCCAACATGGAGAGATCTCGTGGTTTCGTATGTTCCCGTTGGGTCAGGATGGAAATGAATAGAATGCGTGGTTTTGAGCCAGTGGAGAAATTCCTTTATTGGCTCGTGGGGAAAAGCCTTGCGGCATAAAAACCCCTATGATCTTTAATCGAGTATGTGTGTTGTACAACAAGTGAAATTCGTGTATGTATCGAGTGAACGTGTATGTATCGAGTGAACGGGGCCCCGCGATAATGCAGAGATTCTCGCGCCAAGTATGC